GATTCGCTCAGCAGTCAATTTCTTACCTCATACATATTGTCAGCCATAATGGCGTGTCTACAGACCCCAACAAGACTGAGTCTATCCAGCAGTGGCCTCAACCACAGAATATCAAAGAGCTCCGCAGCTTCTTGGGGTTAGCCGGTTACTACCGTAAGTTCGTGAAGCACTTTGCTACACTGGCAAAACCTCTGACTGATCTTCTGAAGAAGGGATCTATATTCGTTTGGACTCCAGCTCATCAAGCTGCTCTGGATGCTTTGAAGTCTGCCCTTGTTTCAGCTCCGGTGCTTGCACTTCCAGACTTTAGTAAGCCATTTCAGGTGCAGACGGATGCTAGCGACTCGGGTGTTGGCGTAGTCCTGTTACAAGATGGACACCCACTTGCTTTTGTCAGCAAATCACTTGGCCCCTGAACTAGAGCTCTGTCTACTTATGAAAAGGAGTTCCTGGCCATCCTAGTGGCAGTCGAGCAGTGGCGGTCATACCTGCAGCATAGTGAATTTACAATATTCACCGACTAACACAGCCTCATGCACATTACTGATCAGCGCTTGCAGACTCAGTGGTAGCTCAAGATGCACAACAAACTGGTCAATCTTCAGTACAAGGTCGTTTACAAGCCCGACAGGTCAAATTCGGCCGCCGATGCACTATCTTGTCACCCCAACCTGCCATCCCAACTCCAAGCTCTATCAATTTCTACTCCGGCTTGGCTAGCAGATGTTACAGCCGGTTATGCATCTAACCCGGAGTCTACAAAGTTGCTCTAGGAGCTGTCTATTAACCCTCAGATCCATCCACCATTCGCTTTGTAGAATGGCGTCATTCGCTACTCAGGCCGTATCTGGGTTGGCAACAACCATCAACTGCAGCAAAGAATTATTTCAGCTCTTCATGACAGCGTGTTGGGAGGTCATTCAGGGTTCCCGGTCACTCACAGCCGCATTAAGAAACTGTTTTGCTGGCGCGGTATGAAGCAGTCAATCAACACTTTTGTTGCTGCTTGCTCAGTTTGCCTCCAGGCCAAACCAGATAGATTGCCTCCAGGCCAAACCAGATAGAGCTCGCTACCCGGGTCTCCTTTCACCTCTCCCAGTTCCCGTGGAGGCCTGGCAGATGGTGTCCATGGACTTCATCGATGGCTTACCAACCTCTGGACATGCCAACTGCATCATGGTGGTAGTGGATAAGCTAAGTAAATTCGCACATTTCATTCCATTACATCATCCTTATACAGCCCAACGCGTAGCACAAGCTTTCCTCGACAATATCTTCAAGATCCATGGCTTGCCTACTCATATCATATCAGATCGTGATCCCATCTTTACCAGCCAGTTTTGGCGTGAGCTATTTCATCTTGCTCAGGTGACATTGGCTATGAGCTCAGCCTACCACCCTCAATCTGACAGGCAGACCGAACGTGTAAATCAATGTCTCGAAACATATCTACGTTGTTTTGTTCATTCCTGCCCAAGACAATGGTTGAAGTGGCTACCACTTGCAGAATATTGGTACAACACCAGTACGCACTCAGCTCTGGGAAGGTCGCCGTTTGAGGTACTATTCGGTCGATCTCCTCGTCATTTTGGTAGTATTGACCTTGCTGCTTCCCCTGTGCCGGACGTGGCCTCCATGCTGGCGGAGCGAACCACTATGCTCGCATCTGTATGCCAGCATCTTCTTCGAGCATAGCAGCGCATGAAGCATCAGGCGGACAAGAAGCGCTCGGAGCGTTTGTTCTAGGCTGGAGACTTTGTCTACCTCCGTCTGCAACCTTACGTTCAGTTGTCATTGGCGCCGCGCTCCCACCACAAGTTATGCTTCAAATACTTAAGTCCGTTCAACATGCTGTCCAAGATTGGAGTGGTGGCGTACAAGCTTGAGCTTCCTCCGACGTCTTCAATCCACCCGGTGTTCCACGTCTAGCTTCTGAAGCCAGCGTCATCCTCTGTTCCGGCAGTCTCCGCGAGGCTCCCCGACCCCGACAACAACATGCAAGTACCTGAGCTTGTGCTGCAGTCGAGGCTACACCAACACGGTACCCACTCCGTCAAGCAGTTGCTGATCAAGTGGTCCGACCTCGACGATGAGCTTGCTACCTGGGAGGACATCGACGCCATCATGCAACGTTTCCCTGGTGCTCCGGCATGGGGACATGCCGGCACTCAAGGGGGGAGGGATGTCAGCAGGCCTCACCCTGGGGATCCGTCGACAACTCCAAGGCCCAAGAGGAAGAGAGCACGCAACGTGAAGTTGTCTGGGCCGGAATGGGCCTGCATGTCATGTAATGAGAGGCCCAAGTCGAAGTGAGATAAGAGGAGGCAACGAAGGAGTCGTGGGCATCTATCGAGTGAACTACTCTATTTTGTATTCTGGCTATCGCCAACGCACTTTTCTAATATACATTGTAGTTCCCTGTACTTCTTCCCCAAGTCCGACCGGTCGCCGCCTCGCCGGCTAACATGGACGTCGGCACAGGGCGTGATGTGGCCAGGTGCGGGAAGTTGAGCCCCTGCACAGGATCAGTGTATGGGTCCATAAATATAATATTTTGGAAGTCAATTATGTGGTATTATTAGAGATGATCTCTCTTTTTTCTTCCTATAATTATTTAGAAGTTAGCAAACACCATGTTTTGGGAATAAAATATGCCAAACTTTTGGAGATGCTCTAACAATGCACGGGCTCAGATCTAAATAACGCACAAATATACACATATACACATTCTAAGTTAATCATGGTGCCTTGTCAGTGGCGGAGCTCGCCTCCAAACCAAAGGAGGGGCCATTTTACAGGTGAGCGACGAACAAGCTGTGCTGGAGCTACATTGAGACACGAGAGATGACTTAAAAGAGTAGTAGAAGACTAGCAACTACGAGCACCTTGGGAGACACAACCATGCATGGCTAGGAAGAAATTAAGGAATGCAGACTTTTACTACTGGCCATGAACAGAATTTCTACTAATCGCATGTAGCAAGGGGGGCCATCGCCCAGGGTGACCTGGCCTTGTGCCATACTGGGACAGCCGTTAACGAAGATCTTTCATATGAACCAATTTATTTTCACAGAAAAAAAAACATCGGAAACAGAACAAATAGCGCCGCCAAAAAAGGAATAGCCACGAAACAACATTAGCACAGGCCACACCCACGGCATGCGTATCATCGAACCATCGTGTCACAATCTCAGCTGCAATCTTTACTACGGCCATGTTTAGATTGCAAGTTTTTTTACTCTCTCTTTATTACATCAAATCTTTGAATATATGCATAGAATATTAAATATAGATAAAAAAATAACTAATTACATAGTTTGATTATAAATTACGAGACGAATCTTTTAAACCTAATTAGACCATAATTAAACAATAATTATTAAATACAAACGAAAGTGCCACAATGCCAAATACTCTGACTCAGTCTAAACAAGGGCCTACGTACGTAAGAAAAAACCAGCAGCCGAAAGCGACCGTCTTTTCGTTCTCCCATCCCACAGGCCACACAGCCCACAGCCGTACGGCAGCTCAGCACGGCGGACGGCCCAATGCAAAAGCGCCCGGTGCGCGGACACGACGAGGCGGCTGCCGGCCGGCCGTTGCGCGCTGCCGTCACTGCAGTTGGCTCGATATCCCCGTCAGGCCCGTCACACGCACGCGGAGCGCACGCGGATTCGCCTCCTGGACGCCAAAAGTCGCGGTTTCCCCTTTCAAAAAGGAAAAAAAGTCGCGGTTCCCAAACCCAACGGGCAACGGCCGCCAACATCGCCACCAGATTAGGGAGGAAAAACAGGGCCACGTCGCGAGCCAGTTTATTTATTTATTTTTATATATATACACGTCTACATCTATATTATATAAAAAATATAAATATCACTTTTCAAGAAATTAATTAATCTTAGACTTCTGGATTTATAAAAAATAGTGTCGACATTTATACATCTATAAATATAAATTTATTGTGAAAGCATATTTCATGATTAGTTTGACGATATTTATATTAATTATAAATATTATTAGTACTTATATATAATTATTACTCCTTCGTCCCTTAAAGAATAGATTTCTAGGCTGAAAATTTGTCCATAAATAAATCAACTTCTAGGCTCTCACCATCCACCACATCTATTTAAAAAAATAGCCCTTGAACATTGTGTTTAAGAAGAAAACCTTTTCATGCAGATCAAGAAAAACCTCGAACCTCTGTCCCATCCATATACAGCAGCACCACAACTCCGATGAGACTGGACCGGCCTTAGACCTGTGTTTTGGTGTAAGACAGACAAGGGGATTTTTTTCAACGCGCAGCTAAACTACGCTTCCGAGAGGGTTCGAACTCTGACAAGTAGGGTGCAAAACGCACAGCTAGACGATCTGGTCTGGCCTTCGCTTGCACCACATCTATTTATTTCCTCGGAGTTTCCAACGGTCATCGTACTCATTTATTTTTACCGGACATCATGCTCCAATGGTTGATGCAGTTGATACAACAACATTTAATATATTGGCCATGTTGATTTGAACTTATTTAGAACTAATTTTTTAAGTTATGGAACAATGTTTTTCTTTCATAACATTTTAACATAAATATCAACATAAACCAAATTTCAGCATTAGCGAACAGGGTAATTATTGAAAATACCAAAACTTATTGCTCTAACTTCTCGATAAGTGGTGAATGCAATTAAATAAAGTTAAGAAGCTTTATGAGAGGTGATAAGGTCTTTTCTTTTATTTGCTAATATGTTCTAAACTTTCTAAAAATCTATTCTTTCGTGGAGAGAGAGAATAATTTTAACTTCGTGACTTCTCACGTAACGAGATTTACTTTTTTTTAGCAACATTTACATTTAGTTTTAGACTGACGCGGGAGTATATAAACACACATCGGCCCATCTCCGTACAGGCTCCTCTCTCCCGTCCGGGCCTGAAACTCCCCATTCCCTCCGCTCTCGCGGCCGACGGCGAGCTCGCTCCCGTCTCCCGGTACCGTGTGAGGGATGGAGAGGCTGGATAGCTACCTGAAGGAGCACTTCGAAGTGCCGGCGAAGAACCCCTCCGAGGAGGCGCAGCGGCGATGGCGCTCCGCCGTGGGCCTCGTCAAGAACCGCCGCCGCCGCTTCCGCATGGTGCCCGACCTCGACCGCCGCAGCCAGGACGAGGCCCAGCGACAATCCATCCAGGTACTCTTCTACTGCCTGCCCCACAGCAGCCACTAGTCAACCAGCCTTCATCTGTGCTCTGCTCTGCTTTCTAGCTTCCCCTTCCGTAGCCATGCCCGTGCTCTGTCTCTCAACTCTCATCTCGCATCTCTGAATCTCTGATCCCTCACCCGGCACCGGCACGTGACGCTTTCTCCATATGCATTTTTTCCCTACTACTAGAGCAACCAACTTGTAGCTTTTTTTACCGCCTTTTTCCGAGTCAATCTGTCCACCTAACCCATTCTGTAATCTGTATGCCGCCAAACCGCATCTGGTTCATCTCTATCTCTTGTGCTAAAAAAACAAGTGCACTATTACGGCATGTAGACTGTAGAGGTGCATTATTTACTGCATTGCAGACTGTAGAGTAAGCAGTAAAGTCGAATGATTTATTACCAAGCTGGTCTTTGTCATGCCACCAGAATTCGTGACACGAGAGAAATTGATAACTCCTCTCATTCAAATGTCTGCGCGGGAACGAATATTCATACTGTATTCATCTAGCTGGTCTACATGCAAGTTGTCATTTGTCAATCGAGGAAGAATAAAAGCCAGCTTTTATTGCTGCTGTTTCGCACAGTTCATACCATACCGAATATGGCCCCCCTTCGTTTTGTTCACTCTTGGGCTTGTTTAGTTCAAAAAGTTTTCCAAAAAATGCTACATCAAATCTTGCGATACGTGCATGGAGTATTAAATGTAGACGGGAAAAAAAACTAATTGCACAGTTTGGTGGGAAATCGCGAGACGAACGTTTTGAGCCTAATTAATCCATAATTGAATACTAATTGCCAAATAAAAACGAAAATGCCACAGTAGCTAAATTCCCAAATTTCACGGAACTAAACGAGGCCTTTGTGTTTCATTTCACGGTCCATTGGTCCAATTATCTGCCCAAGACTGAGTATGACGGCGACCCTCCATGGAGGAAGCTTCCAGGAAGCAGCCTCTTTCCAACGGCAGGGGGCGTCAAAGCAGGGCAGATGCACAAGCGTCACCTTGGGGCCCCAATGCAGCCACATTGGTCCCGTCGTCGGGGCCCCTCACCTGTCATAACCTTGTGCTCTTTTCTTGTGAATATCTACTACTACTGGTATAAACAGATGTCTTAGTTTGATGACTTATCCAGATGTGCATAGTTTAACCTTTTCTGTTTGTCTGACTCGGAGAATCCAACGTTTTGTCTTTATTTAATCAGTGGATTAGTAGTAGGGTATGTGATCTAGTTTTGGCGCATCCCCGGTGGGTGCACGTCCATTTCCATCAAGGGGGAAAAAGGGAATGCTGTAGACTGTTACTAACAAACTACAAAGCATCTCATATTCATGCAGCACCTTGTAGTATTGTATCTCATATTACAAGTAAGGAAAGAAACAATATGTTATATCCATGTAGTCACAGCTTTTCATTCTTTGTTTTTGCAGGAAAAAATTCGGCTTGCCCTGGTTGTGCAGAAGGCTGCCATCACCTTCATTGATGGTATTACATAACTGCTTCTGCTTGTCTTACAGATTAGTATTTTGCTGCTTTACTAACCCCCATCTAACTTGTCAACCATCTGGTGGTGTTAAAGGTGCCAAGCATAAAGACTATCGGATAACAGAGGATATCATAAAAGCTGGATTTTCCATAAATCCAGATGAACTGGCATCGATCACAAGCAAGCATGATGTGAAAGCTTTGAAGATGCATGGTGGGGCGGATGGGATATCCAAAAAAATCCGATCGTCATTCGACCATGGCATATCTGCCAGTGACCTAGACACAAGGCAAAACATCTATGGCATCAATCGCTACGTGGAGAAACCTTCAAGAAGTTTCTGGATGTTTGTTTGGGATGCGTTGCAGGACATGACTCTTATCATTCTTATGGTGTGTGCTTTGATATCTGCTGTTGTGGGTCTGGCATCTGAAGGTTGGCCCAAGGGCATGTATGATGGCTTGGGAATAATCCTCAGCATTTTGTTGGTTGTGATGGTTACTGCTATCAGTGACTACAGGCAGTCACTTCAGTTCAAGGAGCTTGACAATGAGAAGAAGAAGATATTTATCCATGTGACCAGAGATGGCTCTCGGCAGAAGATCTCAATATATGACTTGGCAGTTGGTGATATCGTGCATCTATCAATTGGAGACCAAGTACCTGCTGATGGACTGTACATTCATGGATACTCCCTTTTGATTGATGAGTCCAGCTTGTCAGGTGAGAGTGATCCAGTTTATATTTCTCAAGATAAGCCGTTCATCTTGGCAGGAACTAAAGTTCAGGATGGATCAGCTAAGATGATAGTAACCGCTGTCGGTATGCGCACTGAATGGGGAAGGTTGATGAGCACGTTGAGTGAAGGAGGAGAGGACGAGACGCCGCTGCAGGTTAAGCTAAACGGAGTCGCAACCATCATTGGCAAGATAGGCCTGATGTTTGCCACATTAACATTTGTGGTCCTCATGGTTAGATTCCTTATTGAAAAAGGTTTAACAGTTGGTTTGTCCAAATGGTATTCTACTGATGCACTGACTATAGTAAACTACTTTGCAACGGCAGTCACTATTATTGTCGTTGCTGTTCCTGAAGGGCTGCCTCTAGCTGTTACTTTGAGTCTTGCATTTGCAATGAAAAAGCTAATGATTGATAAAGCACTTGTAAGGCATCTTTCAGCATGCGAAACAATGGGATCTGCTGGTACCATCTGCACAGATAAAACGGGAACTTTGACTACTAACCATATGGTGGTTGACAAGATATGGATATCTGAGGTCTCAAAGTCAGTTACCAGTAACAATAGTTTGGAAGATCTGACTTCTGCCATTTCTCCAGCTACATTGAGCCTACTTTTGCAGGGCATTTTTGAGAACACCAGTGCAGAGGTAGTCAATGAGAAGGATGGTAAGCAAACTGTTTTAGGAACTCCAACAGAAAGGGCAATATTTGAATTTGGCTTGAAATGGGAAGGTCTTGATGCTGAGGATAGGACCTGCACCAAGGTTAAGGTTGAGCCTTTCAATTCCATTAAGAAGAAGATGGCAGTGTTGGTCTCATTAAACAATGGCATGTACCGTTGGTTCACCAAAGGTGCATCAGAGATTATTGTGCAGATGTGTGACATGATGATAGATGGCGATGGAAACAGTGTTCCCTTGTCAGAAGCTCAGAGAAAGAACATCTTGGATACTATCAACTCCTTTGCTTCGGACGCTTTAAGGACACTGTGCTTGGCGTATAAGGAAGTGGATGATTTCGATGATGATGCAGATAGCCCAACAAGTGGTTTTACTCTAATATCCATTTTTGGCATCAAGGATCCTTTGCGCCCAGGAGTCAAGGATGCTGTGAAGGCCTGTATGTCTGCTGGCATCATTGTGAGAATGGTGACCGGTGATAATATCAATACAGCTAAAGCTATAGCCAAAGAGTGTGGAATACTATCTGATGGTGACGTATCAATAGATGGATCAGAATTCCGCAGTAAGAGCCCAGAAGAGATGAGGGAGATAATACCTAAGATTCGGGTTCATTTCACTTTCCTCAACCTATGGTTACGCTAATATCTATTAAGATTTCATTTTTCTCAATTTTAATTGTCTTTCAACATTGGCAGGTCATGGCTCGTTCTTTACCATTGGACAAGCATACCCTTGTGACAAACTTGCGAGGTATGTTTGGTGAGGTGGTTGCTGTGACAGGTGATGGCACGAATGATGCTCCAGCATTACATGAAGCAGATATTGGCCTTGCTATGGGCATAGCAGGAACAGAGGTACTAGGTTATATTGCATTGGTTCATGGATGACAAGAATACATAGATTGTGATTCAATGGTTGGAAAGTTGATCAAAATAACCTATCTAGTTATTTTTATATCTTAATCTTAGGTTCCATGATTCAAATAGTTTGCCTTCATGGTCTCACAAAAAACAATATAAAAAAGATATTGATCTCTGCTATTCTTACTGTTTGAATCTCATGCTGACTAGATATTGGGCTGGTGGCATTAGGAGTTTAGAACTTCTCACTTACAAGGGCTTCTCCTTCAGCAACTCATCATGTCCCTTGAAAGATAATGGTATAAACTTACATATTTTCAGGTTGCCAAGGAGAGTGCTGATGTGATAGTGCTTGATGACAATTTTACAACTATAATAAATGTTGCAAGGTGGGGTCGTGCTGTTTACATAAACATCCAAAAGTTTGTGCAGTTTCAGTTGACTGTCAATATTGTTGCTTTGATCATCAACTTTGTTTCAGCATGTATTACAGGTGTGGGCATCATCTATAGTATTCTTTCTCCAATGCCACTATGCCACAGTCATTCAATTGGTGAATTCTTGATATCCCTTATTGAAATAATAAAATTTTGACTCTTGTATCACAGGGAGTGCTCCTCTCACAGCGGTGCAATTGTTGTGGGTCAATATGATTATGGATACATTAGGAGCTTTAGCTCTAGCAACAGAGCCTCCAAATGATGACATGATGAAGAGGCCACCTGTTGGGCGAGGGGAAAGTTTCATTACCAAAGTCATGTGGAGAAATATCATTGGGCAAAGTTTGTATCAGTTGGTTGTACTTGGAGTTCTCATGTTTGCTGGGGAACAGTTTCTGAATATCAAGGGCGCAGATTCCAAATCTGTTATCAATACACTCATATTCAACTCCTTTGTGTTCTGCCAGGTGAGCGCATTATAACTGTTATCAATGCACTTTCATTCCTAGTGCAGTAGTGCCTACGTCCACTTCAGACATTTTTTTTTCGTGATTGGGTCTAAGCCCGTTTTTCATTAAGCAGACAGGAATTTGAAAATGTCCACTTCAGGCATTTGTTTACCCTACATTTGAATTGTGTCCATATGGTAATGTCTGATCAGTGATAACATATGATCTGATGAGCTTGAATTTATGTTGTCTCAGGTATTCAACGAAATAAACAGCAGGGAAATGGAGAAGATTAATGTTTTCCGTGGTATGGTCACCAACTGGATCTTTATTGCAATCATAGCTGTGACAGTCGTATTTCAAGTGGTGATCATAGAATTTCTCGGCACTTTTGCAAGTACCGTCCCACTTAACTGGCAGCTTTGGCTGCTAAGCGTTGGCCTTGGATCGGTCAGCTTGATTGTTGGTGCCATCTTGAAGTGCATACCAGTTACCAAATCAAATGAAGTTCCTGCAGGTCCAAATGGCTATGCGCCGCTTCCCAGCGGTCCTGATGACATATAGCTGAAGAAGAGTGATGGAAAAGGAATTGCATTTGGTAGCATCAGCGGGTCCGTGAGAACCCCAAACACGCCATGGCCACCTTCGATTTTGTGTCCTGTTTGGAATAAGTAAACCACTGTCTAGGCTCAGTTATAGCATATCGTTCTATGCCTTGTCCTGCAATTACACGTTTTTTCCTGTTTGCTGTTTCTGCTATATATATGTAAAAAAGATGGTGATGAACACAATGCAAGGCACTATTTTCTTGGGTCATGGCCCTCATGGAAACGAAGTTTTCTCGACTAATCCAAGTACACTTACTTTGTTCTACTAGGATAGGAAGAAAAGCACATTAATTTGACTAGCAAAATTCGAATTTACAGAGCTGAACGCAACTTCAAAATGGAAGTACATAGTAACAGAAACATTGCAACGTTGTCTAATAAAAAAACAGAAACATTGCATCATCAGTAGGATCATGATCGTGACACTAAGCTGCTAGTCGCTGAATTCTACAAAACCCTAAACCACTGGATACCAATTCCCCAACAAATTATCGACTTGCGTTAGCGTCGCCTTTCGGATCGTCGTCGTTCTCTTGCACACCGTCACTGGGCTCTAGTTTCGGATCGTTGTTCTCTTGCACACCATCACACATGGGCTGTAGAACTGAGAAGGCGTTACTATTGCTGTCCATGATCGATCCATCGTCCAGCTGCAGCAAATGTTCCACAGTAAACACAAAGTCAGAGTCTTCTAGCTTCAAATCTTGCGCTGTAAACTCCACGTCTTCTGTAACCATCTCCAATCGCTGTGGCTCGTCGTCGACCCTGATGTACACGCCGCCATGGACGCCGGCGCAGTGGTATTGGTAACCCCCGTCGCCTGCTTGTTCCATCATGGGTTGGTGTTGCCAAGTGGCCAACGCTTCTGCTGTTAGCTCGGTCACCGGCGCCGCAGCACCAGCAGCATGGGACGACGTGGTGGCATAGGAGCACCCGACGTCCGGAGGCGCCGGCGCAGCAGCGGTGGCATAGGAGGAGGAGAACCCGACATCGGGCGCCGCCGTCCAGTAATCCGCGTCGAAGTGGTGCTCCACCTGGCGCGCCGCCGCTAGCTGCCGCTGCCTCTTGTTGCACGGGGCTGGCACGTCGTTGGCCTCGAGCTGCTGCTGGCGGTCGTCGCCGTCCGCCGCCGCCACCGCCGCCTTGGGCCTGAGGTGCAGCCTGCAGAGCACCCTGACGCCGTCCTCGCCGGTGGCGTCGTTCCGGACGGTGCCGAACTCCTCCATGAGCCACGCGGTCTTGCCGCCGCCGGCGGGGCGGAACTCGAAGGACTGGCGGTACCCGGCGCCGCGGACGGGGATCCGCTTGCCGGACCCGTGCCACGTGCCGAGTGCCCCGACGGCGCGGTTCATCCGCTTGCTGCTGGCGTTGCCGTCCTTCCAGCGCGCGACGGAGAGGAAGTACCAGTTGCCGTCGTCGTGGGCGATGTGCTGGAAGCGCGACGCCAGCGTGCCCGGGTCCTCGCCGTAGACGTCCGCTGCCGCCATGATGCCGTAGAACTCGCCGGGCGACTGGTGGCCGGGCTCGGTGGCCACCCAGGGCTCGAGGTAGCACTGGATCAGCTCCCGCGGGGTCGGCTTAAAGCGGTACCCTGGCGGCGCGTTAACGTTCGGCCACCGTGGCGCCGCATGCTCCATTTGTTCCGCCGCCATCGTCGTCGTTGTTGTTCTTGGACTCTTGGTTGAAAGCGTGTGTCGTCTGCAGAGATCAAGCGCGCGTGCGTGGGCGTGGCCGGCCGCGCGGGCGGGGCAATATTGCCCTGCGCGTCCGAGACCGATTCGAAAGCGGGTGCGGGAAGTAGAGACCGACACCGACTCGAGTGTGTGTGTTTTATTATTTTTTTAATTTTTAATTTTTGGAGGTGGGGGGCTGGGCTGTGAGCAATGGATGGTGAAAAGGGCCGAGGCCCATTTGTATACCCGTTTGCGCAATCGTGGGCCAGCTACACAACACAGCCGAAGGAAAAAGAAATACAGTAAACCTGAAGCAAACCAAATTCTTCACCTGTTCCTGTGTCTGTGTCAGCTCGGGTTTTTGCTTCCGTCGTCGTCTTCGATTCGTGCGGCGGCGGCGTCGCCGCGGCGGTGAGGGGAGCGGGCGAGGCGAGGGATCAGCCTCGATGGGGAAGCAGAAGGGCCGCGCGTCCAGCAGCGGCATGGCGGCGTCGCTGGTGCCGCACGCCCAGGGCGCCGTCCCCACCGTCGGTTTCGGCGGCTACCATGGCGCCGTCCGTGTTGAGCCCGCTGCGCCCTCCGACCCAGACGCCCCGATTCGCCTTACCCCAGTATCTCTCTCTCTCTCTCTCTCTCTGTCTCTCCTTAGTTCACCACTAGTGGAATAGTTTTTCATATTAGCTTTGTGGGAGGAATACTTCGGCCCCAAATTCGGTGCTTCCTATCTGCGCAGCCAGCATCTAGTATTTATTAGTCCTCTGTGGTAGCAATTAGACGTATTATCTTTCAGTTTTAGCATCGGTAGGGAGTTGGACCTAAATTTGTATTTGTAGGTGTAATAACAGTATAACACAATATCTTTCATTCTATTTGGTATCATAAACAACATGCACACGCTATACCTATCTGTTTGAGTTCAGCAGCATCTAGCTTCACATGGTACCACTAACAGCCTTTGAGTTCACTAGCTCTGGTTTTAGTTTGCCTCAGTTTGTGGCTTCAGGCTCATTGGCATTCTCATACCTTATTTCTATGATTATATGAAGGATGTGGATGGTGAAGTGCTTCAGAACCTAAAGAGGCTAGGAAGAAAAGATCCAACAACAAAGGTCAGATTGCTAGTCATATTCCTTCCGCAGGCCTTTAGTTTTTCCCTCAATATATTGTATGTCATATTTCTTTCATAGGCTTTTTTCCCCTCAATATATTGTATAGTAGCACTTGTGCTATTGTGCTGAGAATATATAATTAAGATCCTTTCACCATACCATTGTTTTCTGTCAATTGCTCAATTTTTATATAGCAAGAATTTAGCCCTTCTTACACAAATTCATGCAATAAAAGAGAGTAGCTGTGCTGTTAAGTCTGAGTTTCCATCATTATCTTTCAGAGGAGATGCTACAATTTCCAAAAAAATTCTGTTTTCTCCTACCATTTTCTTCCTAGAATGTTACACCCTTTCTGCATTGAAAAAAATATATGAAAAAGCATCTATAACATTGCTGCTGTACTGTACCACGTGTTTTTTTAAAGAAGCCGCTTTACTATGCATTACCTTTCTCTTTTCTATTCTTGAATGCAGCTCAAGGCCTTATCTGCTCTCTCTACACTCTTTGGACAAAAACCTGGTGAGGAAGTTGTGCAGATTGTTCCACAATGGGTATTTCTTTTCTCGATTCCTCTGTTGCATTTTCACCCTGTCTTATATTGTCATGACCCTTATCAGAGTAAAACTGGCAACTTTCTTATGCCATACTTTGTACAATTTTCATGTCTTTATGAGAATATGTCTAGTATCAAAGTAAATATTCATTTTCTGGCATACACATATTTATATGGTATATATGGAAGGTTTTGTATCATAACCTAATACTCATGTGGAGCTCTACTTTCCTACAATCAAATGGCATAAGGACTTGTAGTCTCTTTGTTGGTGTGAGTATATTGTTTCCTTGTAATCCACGAATGCCTTAGGTTTGTTGCTGACTTGTTAAATGAGATCCTATCATTGCAAGACTAGCGTTTAGACTTTCTGGTGTATCTCATGTTAGTTCTATATTTGCTTATGTTCCTAGTAAGGTTGAATACTTGTTAATGTGAAGAAAAGGAAAGGATAACATGGTTTGATACTATATTATCTTCTTTCTGTTTAGGCATTTGAGTACAAGAGGCTGCTACTTGACTATAACAGAGAAGTTCGCCGTGCTACTCATGAGGCCATGTCTAGCCTCATCACAGTAGTCAAGTATGCCCATCTCCTTCCATTAAACTGAGGTCCAACTGGTCTATGCTGTTTATTTCTGGTTCCTTGTTGGTTTTGGTCCAGTTAGAAAAGATCTTAGACCCCAACAGGACTCAGTAGATTTCCATTTATTTATACATTAAGTATTTTTTGGCAACCTTTAAATGGATGCCACTAAATCCATTGTTTCAGGAAAGGTATAGCACCACACCTGAAGTCCTTGATGGGTCCTTGGTGGTTTTCTCAGTTTGATCCTGCTCCTGAGGTTGCTCAGGCTGCTCGACGTTCATTCGAGGTGAGTTCTATTAATATTCCTTCTCTGATTAATGTTAATGGGTGCAAGTCACTTAAGCTGGACAGCTATCTAGATTTGCTGCAGCCATTTTTACCTGGAATACTAGATTAAAAGTACTAAACTCACTGAGGGCTTGTTTGGATAGATAGGGAGAATCCATCTCCATCCAAGTAAGCCCTTGTTTTGGAAAGGGGTTCTAAAAAAAAAAACTAGACAATTAACTGCAATGAATGGACCATTGATATAGAAGCATTAAATGTTAAGATCTGGTTAGTGCACACACTCTAGCTATTAGGAAGTATATATGTGTATTAGGAACTTGTTCATTCCTTCCATGTACACTGATTGTATTCCATATATATCAAGCCTGATTGGCTATATAATAGAGGTCAAGCCCCCCCCCCTCATTAGGGGTGAGGTGTTTTTCCATATCCTTTCTACATGGTATCAGAGCTGGCGGCTGGAGGAACAGTTCAGTCTTCCCGTTCGCAGCATCCAAGCTGACAACGGAACCAAGTTTGTCAATAAGACTCTCACATCTTTTTTGACTTCTCGAGGCATCCACCTGCGCCTCTCCTGTCCCTACACCTCTCCTCAAAATGGGAAAGCTGAGCGTGTCCTCTGCACCCTTAATAATGTCACTCGCACCCTGCTGATTCATGCCTCCATGGCCGCCCCATACTGGGCCGAGGCACTCGCCACCGCCACCTATCTTCTGAACAGGCGCCCTTGTTCTGCTGTTCAAAATAACATTCCCTACCAACTACTCTATTCCCAGCCCCCCGAATACTCTCACTTGCGTGTATTCGGCTGTCCGTGCTATCCTAATCTCTCAGCCACGGCACGCCACAAGCTTGCTCCTCGATCTGCAGCCTATGTCTTCCTCGGTTACCCTTCATCCCACAAAGGGTACCGTTGCCTTGACCTATCCACCCGTCGCGTCATCATCTCTCGCCATGTTGTCTTTGACGAGTCTGTTTTTCCTTTCTCCTCCCACCCTACTCACCCGTCACAGCTTGACTTCCTCTTGTCGAGCCTCTCTACTGCTCCTACTCTTGCCTCGGTCGCTCCGTCCTCGGACGTTGCACAGCCGCGGCCATCACCCGCTGTTTTGCAGGAACTTCCCGACGATGACCCGCCATTACGATGCACGCGGTCCAAGAGTGTACGCACGCCCGTCTCAGGCGGGCGCCACCCTCTTCCTCCGCTGCGCAGACCAGCCCGCTTGGACGCCGTCCGCTCCTGCGATTAGGGGTTCCACCGCCGCCCGGCGCCTACCGATCGGCATCCGGTGCCGCCCCGCCTCATCACTACACCAGCGACCACGGCCCGGCGCGCAGATCTCGCTTCGGCGCCTCTCTGCGGCGCCGACCATGGTCTTGGCACCAAGAGCCCGGCGCCCACACCTCTGCCGCCGCCACCTGCGCTGCGGCACCTCAGGTGCCCGCAGATCCCCGCATCGTCGCCACCTCCCGCTCCTACACGGCACTGTCACTCGGATCGTGATTGGGGCCATTCGTGGTGTCCTATCAGGCTTGACGGCCGCCATCATCGCCCTCTCCGCTTTCGGCAAACTATCGCGTGCTGCTCGCTAACACCAACCGGGCGCGTCTTTGCAATGGTCGACGAGTTCTAGGCTCGGATGGACAACGACACTTGGCGCCCTCGTGGCGCCGTGTTGGGCAAGTGGATCTTCCGGCATAAATTCCATGTCGATGGGTCACTCGCAAGACAAGGCGCTATTGGTGGTCCGAGGCTTCTCCCAGCGCCACGGCATCGACTACGATGAAACCTTCAGTCCGGTTGTCAAACCAGCGACAATACGGACCGTCCTCAGCATCGCCGCTGCTCGCGCCTGGCCGATCCACCAGCTGGACGTGAAGAACGCATTTCTCCACGGCCATCTCGGCCGAGATCATCTCTCATCGCCAATGACCTCCGGATTCGTCGACCCCGCCGCTCCAGATCACGTCTGTCTCCTCCAGAAGTCCTTGTATGGACTAAAGCGAGCACCAAGGGCGTGGTACCGCCGGTTTCGCCTCCTACATTCGACGGCTCGGGCCGTCGCCTCCGTCTCTCAAACCGCCCTCTTTGTCTACAAAGAGGGGCCGAGCATCGCCTATCTGCTGCTATATGTCGATGACATCGTCCTCACTGCGTCATCCACGACTCTTCTCCAGCACATCATGGGCCGCCTTCACTCCGAGTTTGCCATGACAGATCTTGGAGCCCTGCATCACTTCCTCGGCATCTCAGTGACTCGTTCTTCCCAGGGCCTGTTCCTGTCTCAGCGACAGTATGCCCTGGATCTTCTTCAGCGTGCTGGCATGGCTGAGTGTCACTCTACAGCGACTCCCGTTGACACTCATGCCAAGCTCTCGGCACAGGACGGCGCCAAGCTCTAGGACGGCTATGAGTACCGAAGCCTTGCTGGGGCCCTTC